ATCAATAAGCATACAAACAAACTGACTAGACCCTTTACAAATGCTAAGATAGACATCATTTCCAGCAGAGGTTCTCTTGGAAAAGGCATCTCAGAGGACATTGTTCTGTTTCAGAAGCTAACTGCTGGATATGACAGCCTCAGACTAGATGACCCCTGAGGCTTTCCAGTGCACTATGGAAATTATCTAAGAGCCAGGCATGGGCCAAACCTGCCAGATCTTGAGGACTGGAGTCAAATCATACTCATGTTGGCATTGCCATGAGTACCTCATACTTCAACTTGCCTAGAATAGTTACTACATGACCAAATCACTTGTTGCCACCCACAAGCCCCAGCTGTTGTCTCTGCAGGCTCTTGAGAAATTCTTCTCTGCTTTGGCTAGGAGAAATGTCCCCACTTGTAGAACCCGGGCTTCCCTCCAACCTGGCAATTAACCTCTGCACTGTCATCTGAGAGAAACCCAACCCCTTATTGTCCACCAAGCTTGAGAGCAAAGCTTATGGCAGCCTCTACTACATTTCTGTTAGCCGACAGCAGGCATTTCTTAGGTGGTCTTTAGACAAGTGAAGGAATTGAACAATGACTGAGTGGTGGAATGAATGAGGTCTCTCACAAGCCTGTTCTTAATCCCCTTGTCCTCTCTGAAGCAGCATCCCATATGGGATTATCTTGGCTCTGTGGATCCTTATGCCATTATTGGCTTTTTCAGAGTTGTTTCTGAGGTTCTCACCCAAACATCTTAAGTGTTTATATGAAGAAGCATGGACACACGCCAACCCACATATTGACAGTCTCGCCAGAGAGACAGGGCCACTTACCTTTTCTCTTCCCACCTTTCTGGAGCAGCAACCAGAGCTTTTAGTGGTGTGTACATGAGTGGCTAAAACTTCAAACAAGAGACTCCAGAAACATCTTCCATTCTAAGATAATCAGGTAGCATGTGAACATTTTGTACAGGTATATTTCTGTATGTTCTATGCCATGAGATTATGTGTGTACAAGCAGATGCAGAAATAGGCTGTGAAAAAGAGTACTAACACACGTAGACTCCTCTAATGAATCTTGGCTGTTAAAAATAATTTACTTTAAAAAATTCTAAGGTGGTTAAAAAGGTTAATTTGAAGAAAGATTGATCATAAAAGAGCAAAACCACCCCCTTCACCATCGCTTCCTCCATCACCTCCCCCACCACCTCCACCACCATGAAAACTTTTCTAGAGAGAAGTGTTTGAAATAAGTGTTACATGAGAAAAGGATAAGTTGTCTTCTTTAAAATTATTAGTATTCTAGTGTTGTAACCTACGGAAAAAAACCCTAATAATTTCTTTTTGATTGACCTAAAATAAAACGAGTTATTTTTTAGGTTGATTCAAAATCTGAAACAATTGAACATACCTGACAGAAGGAGTTAATACTAAATGTTTTGAAAAGTTTCTTTGCAAGTCATACAGTTTTAAGAGCTTTTCAGTGCTTTCTTACAGCTGTACTATCTTTCTCTTGATGGTCTAAAAAGAGATACGTTAGCAGCAGGTATCTTCTGATTTGCTAAACAGGTATTCAGAAAGCTCAGAATTAAAATGTGGAATGCACATTCTCCTTATAGTTCCAACATGAGTACCTGCTCACCGTTCTCACTGGATTTTACTGTTTGCTTAGCCGGCCTTGGATTTTCTTGGACACTGGGTAAGGTTTCAGTGTACTTATCCGAACAACAGATTGATATTGCTTTAATGCAGCAATTCAGGTTTATTCTTTTTCCATTCATGAGGTTACTTCCAAAGAAGTGGGTTGATTTTGGCTAGCATGGCTTGATAGTATTGCCCTTAGCTAAAGCTCACTAGAAGCCAAGCTCACCCACTCACAGAATCTCTGGGGGCCACAGCAGTGGGGCAAGCATCATAGGTCAAGGAGTTATGTGTAACAGCAAGTGAATGAAACCAACTCGGAATGTAATACCCTCTTCCAGCAACCAGATGAGAGAGACACTCTGTCAACCAGCCTTCCCTGGTGGGCAACCACCAATTCATCAGTAATATTCATTGTGAAGCTCTACCAAAAGCCAAGTTGCAGTTTAGTTATTTAAATTCTTTCATAAAGAGTTTAATCAACAGCAAATCTCCAATCTAATGAGAGACACCACATCCAAAAAGGGGGGACATTCTCAAAATGCCTACTGTGTGATAGCACAAATGCCTGTTTTCAAAGAAAACAGCTTCAGATCTCGTTAGGAGATCTAAACAGCTCAGCTTCAGAAAAGACTCCAGTGGGCCTCCTGCAGTGAATGCTGTTGTTAGCCACACATCTGGGCCAGTGGGGCCTGGAGGAAGAGATTGGAAAAGTCAGAGTGTCACACAGCTCGGTGCACACTGTGGCCAGGATTCCAGACCTAGAAGCATCTGGAATGATACTCTACCTGTAACAAGATCACCTGAAGGCAAACATTTTCAAATGAAATTCCATTTGTGGAGAATTATCTCTTCACCAACGCCTGAGGCCCACAGATTCATCTGCCTACACAGTAAATCCAGCTGGCTCCAAGCAACCAGGAACTCAGAAGCAGGTTTCACCAACTTCAGTCACTCATTCTCCAAATATTCACTGAGACAGCCAGGAGATCAGACCACAGATGTTGGATGTCCTGAATTTAAATTTGAGATCCACTCTTACCATCTCTGTGAACCCAGACACATTTACAATTGCCAAGTGCTAATTTCTCCATCTATAAAAAGGGAAGAAACAGTGGAGAAAATATGAAAAGGCATTAGAGGAAATGGCCTCGGTGTTTGGCAGCTACAATAAAGTGGAATGGCCTTTTTTTTCCTCTGTTCATAAATGTTGCTGAATCCTTGCCTCATTTTGCAAGGCTGAGCTGCGTTTTGGTCTTTTCCACTAGGTGGGAAAGGAAGGGCTTCCGAGGGTGGAGGGTTCTTAGTGAATGCAAACCCCTGCTACCTAGATTCCACCCAGCACACTTTCCCTCCAGGAACTGGCTCGATCCGAGGGGTGTGGCAGGGAGGAGTATAAATAAAGCTCTGCGAGTAGGTGAGTTGTAAAAACCCAGCCGGCTTGGGCTCCTGTATAAATAGCCCAGCCTTCGCCCCAGCTGTGAGGACTGAAAGGCTGCACTCCTTGGAAACACCAGGTGAGCCTGGCTCTCTTAACATTTATTGAAATATATATATTAATTATTATTTATTAATGTTATTATTATTGTGTGTGTGTGTATGATTTAAGGGATGGGGGTTTATGTGCTGGGAGCAGAGGATAACGTTTAGAAGCTGGTTCTCGCCTTCCGCCTTTACATGGGTTCCGGGCGTTGAACTCAGATCATCAGGTCTGCATGGCAAGTACCTCCATTCTTAGAGCCATCCTGCCAGCCCCCTCTTAAGAGTTGCTTTCCCCACCCTACTCAGTGCCTGGACCTCCTTGGGTTTGAATCACATTATGGGACGTGAAAGCTATACCACGATGCCGTGAGAAACAGGTTTCTCCTGGGCTTACTTTGCCTCCTGTCTCAGTCAAGCTTTAGCCCAAACTCTGTGAGGGCCTTTTCCTTTTCCAGCCTGACAGGTGGGCAGAAATGAGTTTTTGGCCATTTCCTGAGCTTTTTCTACTTTTCAGACAAAAATTCTCTATTTTTTTTAAGCATAGATTATATGAACGGTATAGTCATCATTTTTGATGCCATACCAAACCCTGTACAATTTATTGTTTTATTGTTTACTACTGCTGTTTTCTGAAGAACAGAATAAAGGTGAAAAGCAAGAAGTAAGCAATATGGACTGATAGAGAGGAATGCTGTGAACGGGAGAAAAGAGGGGCCTATGACTGAGATGAAAATTGAGTTAGTAAAGAGAGAGAGAGAGAGAGAGAGAGAGAGAGAGAGAGGAAGACTCTGGCCTCCCACCTTGGGCAACTTGCTTATCTGTCTGAGTCCTATCTGTCCCAGTGGTACCTGTGTTATGTTGACAGCTCTGTGCTAGGCTCCTTTGTGGATTAAGAGGCAATGAGAATGAAATCCTGGGGCACTGTTTAACACCTAGTAAGTGGCAAGTGAGCATGGGCTTCTCCTCTGCCTTTACCTATAGCTTTCTTTTCTACCTTGTAAAAACCATGTTGTTTAATACACCATTGAAAGTCACTTTATTTTTGTTAAAAACAAACAAACAAACAAACAAACATTGGGTAAATGTGTCCTGTGTGCCGGCCCTGTGCCACTGAACTCAGCCATGATCCATACCTTCAGTCTTGCAGTCTATAAAATCTGCATCTCATCCCTTCCCACCCTGTTTTACTTGGTCACATCAAGTTCAATGACCTCCCCAACCTTTGTGAGTTCCTGGGGCTTTTCCTCATGAATTTCCTCCTCTATTTCCCACAGCCGCACCCAAGCCCAATATGTTAAACCCTGTGCATGTTCAACTCTGAGTCAACACAGCTTTTCATGACACTTTCATGACTCCTACAAAATCCTTTCACGGTTGGTGATCATCAGTGCCCAAATAAATTGTGGGTAGAAACTGAACTCTCTCTGGAGCTAGAAAAGGAGTTCGTGATTATTTTAGTCAACAATTTCTAGAGGGGAAGAGTGGCTTTTCCAAGATTAAACTGAGGGCTGAGAAAGGGGAAAGTCCCTAGTGGATGCTATTTAAATTCCTCTGATTGTATCTTGTCAATTCTATAAGGCCTCAGGCTTTCTCACTCCCCGTGGTAATGGTCAGGATTTTGTAGGTACTCTGTGCTTGTTACATGAGTAGGTGAAAGACTGAGAAAGTGAGAAACTGAGTGAGTGAAGAAGGGTCATGGGCCCATGCAGTGGGGAAGGAAAGGAATTGGAACTTTATTTGAAGTGGAAATGAGAGCAAGCCAGCTGCTTGGCAGACCTAAAGTGGGCAAGCCAGTGTCAGAGTGGAGGGAGGCAGCCTGTAGTCTCACACTATTGGGTGCTGCCACTCAGTCACCTGCCTTTGTTAAACAGGTGTCCACCCAGCCGACTCCATGAGAATCCACAGCCTTGTCCTGCTCTCCTTCCTTCTCCTGGCTGCTCAGGTGCTCTCTGAAAAGGTCAGAAAGAGAGCCAAGAATGCACCACATAGCACAGGCGAGGAGGGGACATCTGCCTCCTTGGGCAAGGCCCAGAATAAGCAGAGAAGCAGGACATCCAAGTCTATGACCCACGGCAAATTTGTCACCAAAGACCAAGCCACGTGCAGATGGGCTGTGACTGAGGAGGAGCTGGGTGTCAGCCTGAAGGTCCAGTGCACTCAAGCCAATCAGGAGATTTCCTGTGTTTTCGTTGGTGATCCAACAGGCTGCCTTAAACACGACCAAGAACAGACCTACTGGAAACAAGTTGCCCGTGCTCTGCGCAAACAGAAGAACATCTGTGGGAACTCCAAGAGTGTCCTGAAGACCAGAGTGTGCAGAAAGAAATTTCCAGAGTCTAACCTCAAGCTGGTAAACCCCAATGCACATGGGAACATGAATCCCAGAAAGGAGAAAGCTGAGGTCTCCCCAAGGGAGCACAGCAAGGTCCAAGAAGCTTCCTCCATGGAGCCAAACAAGGTCAAAGAGGACACCTCCCCCAGTCCAGCTGTGACCCAGACCTCGGCCATCAAACACAGAGAGTGTCAGGAGGACCCAGATGTGCTCATGCAGAGGAAGACCGCCCTGGAATTCTGTGGCGAATCTTGGAGCTCCCTCTGCACATTCTTCCTTAACATGTTACAGTCCACATCATGCTAACGAAGCCAGAGGGATCAGCCTAAGACATGCAATGTCAGAGCCCAGCTGTCTGCTGGAAACTTCCTGAGTTTCCCTCAAGATACAGACATTTGTGCTATGAGAACAAAGTGGAGTATTTAAACAGTTTTGTAACATTTTGTTTTTGTGTTGTAGAATTTGCTTTATTTTTTTTTTCCATATCCTTGGATATGCTTTTCAGAGACTCTTTACCTCAGTGTATTCTTCCATGGACCATAAACCAAGATGCCTATGAGCAGTGGATAAAACCAAGTAATAATTTCCATGCACAGAATTTTTGGCTGTATTTACCAGGATAATAAAGTTCTGGGACATTCTCAGAAATACCAACAACAACTGTTTCCTTTCTATACTTGTTCTGAAAGAGACTGTGTGTGGTTCCATTATCAATAAGCTTCCAGATGTGAATAGATGAAATATTTAAGGTTGACTTCAGGATCCACCCACCCAAAGTTCTCTCCTGAGAAAATCCATCCCATATTTTCTCTGTATCCACTGTCCTGTATTGTCTGATGTTTATTGAAGTATAACCATCAGGATATGTTTCCAGGTGGAATGTCCCGTGCATGGTGTTTTGGTGGCTTGTCAAAGTGTCACAGATGGTGAGAGAGGAGGCAGATTCCTTGGAACCAGGAATACTTTAAATTAATGTTGTTGGTGTGTGTGTGTGTGTGTGTGTGTGTATTCTGTGGAAGGGTATGTACATGCCATGGTGTGCATGTGAATGTCAGAGGACACCTTTCCTCTTTACACAGATCCCAGAGGTGAAACACAAGACTGTCATCCCTTTGAACCAAGCTTTTTTTACCCACTGACCCATCTCACTAGCTCCAGGACCCAGGAATTATAGCTGCTGAGAACACAGGCTTGAGGATTCATGTCAGATTCCCCCCATGCCCATCCACCATATTTAGAACTGTCCTTACAGAGTCCATTGGGGATAGAGGCCTGGTAAGCAGTGTCCTGTGACAACAACTGTAACAGAAGGAAGAAGTGCAGAGAGATGTGGTACACGTGGATCGAGCTTCACAGGGAAGCAACGGTAGAGCTGGGCTCCGGAGAGAACATATTTCATAGTGAGATGAAGGGCTAGAGTGATGGCTCCGCACTTAGGACCACTGGCAGCTCTTCCAGAGGACCTGGGTTGGCTCTCCAGCACCCATATGGCAGTTCATAACCATCTGTAACTCCACTCACAGGGAATCCAGCAACCTCTTCTGATACACAGACATACATGGAGGCAAAACACCCATACATCCAAGACAATAAAATAATGTTAATACATTTTTTAAAAAAGAATGAAATGAAGTAAAGGAAGCCACATTCAACACGATGGCACAGGTTACAACAAAGCTATGAAGTTATGTGGAAGTCCCATAAGCTGGGAGTGGTCTGATGGCTCGTTAAGATACGTAGTTAAGACAGCTCTTAATTGCATACGTGTTAGTAGTAAAGAGATGACACTATTTTTGAGTCAAGTGTTGAGGAGAAAGGACTATTGCCAATGCCTTGTTTACATTCCACCAAGTGGAAAAAGAGTCAAAGCTAGTAAAAGCCCCACCCTTAGCATTTCTGATGGTGGCAGAGAGGAATGGCAGACATGATGACATCAGAGTCTTTTGCTATTTTTACCCTCATAAGACACCTGTTGAGGGATAGAGGAGGCTTCACAGTGGCATTAGGAGGACACCAGCAACTTTGTAAGGCTAACAGGAGTTATATGAACTCGCAGTGCCTGTGATAACATAAATAGTATCTGGACAGTCTCAAGCCAGATAAAATCTCAGCAGAGTGAGGGTGTTGAGAGGGAGTCCCAGCTCTGGCCCAGGAGCTATTATCAGCTGAGAGCTGCAGGGAAGGGGAGTTTTCTCAGAGCCTGTGGCCCTTGGTAGGTCAACCACATCCCAGTGAAAGGTTGTGCATCCAAGAGTGTAAGACCAGCACAAATTAGACTTGGCGGGCCTAGAAATAAAAGGACACAGAGTTGGGTGAATGGGTAAGTGGGGTGGACCTGGGAGTAGTTGGAGAAATAGAATAAATAGATTATACAAAATAGATTGCATTTACTAATTCTTGAAGAATTAGTAAAAACAAATTTAAAACAAACAAAAAAAACCATAAAACAAATAACAAACAAAAAGCAAAGCGAAACACTACAAAAACTCAAACAATCAAAAAACGAAAACCAAAGTCATTCACTTGCCTGGTTCTTTGTCAAGACTCTCTCATAATTCTATGCATTCACTCACTTCTCAATCATTCAGATGGTTTCTGGAGCCTGGACTCCTCATTGGTGTGTTCCAGGTGCTGGGCACACAGCGGTGTTCAGCACTCACTGATAGGCAGAATGGCAATAAATATAACTCGACAAGAGTTAGAGAAAGAAAGAAAAGCTGCGAGGGGCTCAGGGTGGAAGTGAACCATAGTAAGAAGTATTACACGCTGGTCAGAGACCTCTCTCTAGACGGAAATCTGTACATAGATCTAAAAAGAGGGAGCCAGCCAGGTGATGTTTGCGGTTAAGAATGTTCTAGAAGGAACAGTCAGAGCAAATGGTCTGACATCAGAGGTAATTTCTTGGTTCTCTGTTATGTTTACACTATTTTCCAGGCCCTCCTCCAGACTCAAATAACAGCAGGGACAACAGAAAGTATATCCTCATCTTTATGTTGTATTCCCATAACAGAGACCATGCTCGGCACGCTAGTGGAATGTCACAGACTGGGGTACCATTATAACATGGGGCCCTGGGCCTGGCTTGAGAACCTAACCATCAACTTCAGAAACTGAACCAACCTTCCAGGCTCTCCCTGCTATATGTACCTTTAAAGGCTGGCCCCAAGCATGAGGCCTTTAAGAGCTGGTCTTTAGTGGGAGTGAATTAGGTCATCAGGGATGCCTTCAAGGAGGCATTGGAAAGCTAGCCTCTTCTGTTTGCTTTCTGGCTGGTATCTGATTTATCTTTTTCGTGGCATGCTGTACCACCATAGACGCTAATGGATGGGGCCAAGGGTTCATAGACTAGAACCAGGAGCCAAATTAAACCTTTTCTCTTACTGTATTGCACAGTGCTTGCTTAGTATACATGCAGCTCTAAGTTCACTCCCCAGGACTAAAGTAAAAGAAAAAAAAATTACCCACAACTCCCTTTCCTTTATATAGTGGCTTCCCACCACAGGTATCCATTTAGAATCTGTGCTGTAAGATTGTAAAGGGAAGAAACAGTTTTTATAAATGAGTGCCCTTTGGTGGTGGGAGCTGGTTTTCTTCTCATTGATTTCAGTTTGCCTTTAGTTTTGTTGTTGTTGTTTGTGTGCTGCTAACTATTGTTTGAGATTCGGTGTCAATATGTAACCCAGGCTATCCATCAACTCAGTCTGTGGCTCAGACTGGCTTTGAATTCATAATCCTACTGTCTCAACCTCCCCACTATTGGGGATTTGGGCATGCATAATGTTTGGCTTGATGTTGTATTTTATAGACAAATAAGTGGCCAAGTGCCAACATTAATGATCATCTACAAGGCAACAATGACATTGTCCTCATTCTCTTATTTAATCCCTCAACAACCCCACCCTGACAGTATTCCTCAGCCTTGTGTCCTAAATGATGGGACTGGGATTCAGAAACGCTGAGGCACCTCTGAAACCATAAAACAATATAAAGCAGAGGCTGTGAGAATGCCTTCTTCACTGGCTAAGACTGACAGAGTATTCAGACCTGAGCCAAACAAGGGTGTGAACAGGATCCATCGGTTCCCTCCCCAGGTGAAGCCCCTTCCAACTTTTACAAAGAAAAAACTCAAGAAGCTAATGCTTGCAGTTGTGTTCAGCTTTTCATCCTAATCACACCCAAGGAAAGGGTTTGAAACCTTAAGAAAAAATAGGCAAAAGATAATCCAGACTTTATATTGGATTACCTAAGTTGCCTGTGTAGTTTCTCTGAGAACTTTCTTGATATAAAATAAAGAGGCCTCTCTCTCTCTCTCTCCTTTCCCTCCACCACCCCCCCGTGTGTGTGTGTGTGTGTGTGTGTGTGTGTGTGTGAGAGAGAGAGACAGAAAGAGTGAGAAATAGAAGCAGAGACACGGGAATAAGTAAGGTGAGTTTAAGATACAATTTCCCTTGATTTCAACAAATGGGAAGCTGGTAGGCATGCCAAGGGTGCTGACTGGAGGCATGTGTGCATCCTCTGAAGCCACTAGGAGTAGTAATATCTATCTGCCCCATACTTCAGCAGGAGGGCCCCTTTCCTGCAGCATCCCAGCTCTGTGTGGCAACTCACAGTAACACCAGTGCAGACTTGAATAGCTGGAATCAGGCACATCTCACCTGGCCTCCATCCCATGCGCCTTCTTTCATAACCTCCCTCCTAAATTGCCTCTGGCAGATAAGCAAGAGATACAACGTGTCAGGGGTTAAAACTACTCCCACACGAGTACAAGTTCCACCGTCCTCTTGTGTCTTGGCTTTCATAATATTTCTATGCACACCTTGAAATAGCTTCTTCCATAAATGTGCCATACAACAAGCTGAACAAAATACTTATTAGGATCTATTTAAATAACGACTCAGGAAGGGTGGGAGATTCCCTAAAACAGTCTGATTTGGGATCTGGATAGTTGGATCTGGGCTCTCCAGGGCAAGTTTTCACAATGTTCTTGGAAATGTGTGTGGTAATGCAGAGCTCAAGGCTGCCTAGCCCACCAACACAGTATGCTCAGTGAAGGGCTCACCACAAGGTGTGTCTTCCACACATACTGGCTGAGTGAATGAGAGAAGAAATCATAGCAAGGACAAAGACAGACTTCGGAGTGAATGAAAACTGGGTTTGAATTTCTGTCTGTGTCAGCCAGAACAAGTTATTCCTTCTCACGTTCTCATCCATTAAAAGAGAGTAGGAGACATGCATCTAACAAGAATGGTAAGTGATTAATGTTAAAAGCTCTAGCAGCACACACAGGGATTCTCATTAAGAAAGAA